GGTGAGATGTGGGGTGTTGGGGAGGGGGAGGCCCTAGAAATGAGACAGGGGATGGAGGAAGGCCTTGTGGGGAGGCCCTGGCAATGCAGGGGAGGGGCCTTCAGAGAGGGTTTAGGGGGCAGCCCTGTGTGTGTACAAGGGCCTCGAGGCAAGGCCGTAGCAGCGTATAGAGAGTTTTTAAGGAAGGCATTAGGAGGAAGTTCTGGGTGCATGTGAGGGCCTTGAGAAATGTTTTGGGCAGAAGACTCGAGGGTTAGTGGGGGGCTGGAGGAAGGGTTTGGGTGTTTGGCGGGGAGGCCTTGGGGATGTATGGAGGAGAAAGCGCTGAAGGGAGACCTCGAGGTGGAGGCTTTGCGGGTATAAGGAGGGGGGCTGAGGAAGGCCTTATGGGGAGACCGTGGGGATGGAAGGTGAGGGGGTTGAGGAAGGCTTTGGGAAAGGCTCTAGGGGTGGTGGGGAAGAGTGCAGTCCTATGGAGGAAGCCAGAGGAGGCCCTGGCAGCGTATATGTTTTTGCACCTACTTCTAAGACCAGCTCCCAGTTTCAGGCTGGAAGGCTGTGGCAGAGGGTGTCTCCTAGAGCCAAAGTCCTGGGATAGGCTGGGGAAGGGAGCTGACTTTGGGGCGGTGGGTGAGGCAGGCAGCCCTGGGGAGCACCCAAGTAGGGTGAATACCCTGCCAGCCTATGGGGGGAGGAGCCTTTTGTGGGGAGGGAGGCCCTGGAAAGGGGGTGTATTGCAAGGACTAGTCCCTCCCTCTTGGGGAGAATTTGAGGGGATTGGTCTTACAGGGGAGAGATGAGGCCCTGCAGATATGGGGGGGGGCTGCATCAGGGTTGTAATTGCTGAGTGTCTGCAGGGATGATTCCCAGTAGTGGGAGGCTCTAGGAATTTGTGCATGAGGAGGGCCTTTGGGGCAAATGGGGTGATGTGCTGTGGGGGAAGGCTTGCGAGAGGGGAAGGAGAAGCCCTGGGGTGACTGGAGTAGGGCCTGTCTCTTGGGGAAGCCCTTGGGATGGATGGGTGGAGGCCATGGGACGTGGGAGAGGGTTTTCCAGCGTGTGGAGGAG